AAGTATCATTTTTACTTCTTCAAATAAATGAACAGTCCTTTCATAACTTTGCTTTTACAGGTCTACTTTTCAAATATTTCAATAATATACCCTGCTCCTATAAGCAAGTATACCTTCCATTATTTTGAACTTCAAGTTCTTAACCAGATGAGATAGTGAGTAATCCAGACTATACCTAGATTCTGAAAGCAAGTGGTCAGAAGCCAATAAATTGAGAGATTGTCTGAGTCACAAAGTATGTCAAAATAAATATGTTCCAGTAAAACTCTGAAGGCACCATGGAAATTAACTTCAAGCATTTTTTTTTAACATTCAAAATATTTCTCTTTTCGTCATTCATCTTATTTTTCAGGTATACTTGTCATGTTCTGTTTAACTGGAAGTATGGCTGGCATAAACTCCTTTTAATAACTGTTAGTTCTGCATGCCTGAACCTAAATATCAAACATGATTGGAAAAAGATAAAGTGATGATATTGGAAAAACCTACCTAAAAAGTATGAGTCATGTTTCCAAAATAAGTCAGCAAATTCACTCTTCCAGTTAGCTTATTATTTCATCCGGTAGAATATGAACCTTTTGTTTGTTAATTGCAAGGCTTGATGCCCTGCAAGGACCTCTTTGCATTTTGTAGGTAATGCCAAAAAGAAACAAAAACAATTCCTATACTTAGCATCCAGTATAGTTTATTGCTGTCTACATTCTGACATTTAACAGTGATCTCACTATCACCAGCAATAGGTAATTGAAGTAAAACACATAATAAACCCAATCAAGATGTTATTTTTCTCCTTTGATGCAATTCCTTTAAATACTTGTCTCTCTGGTATTTTAATCTCTTGCAGGAAACTAATTATTTTATGATACAAATTAACCGTTATAAACAAGTTGATTTCTATTTGCCTTTCTATAATTGATGATATATTAATATTTTTGTCATTATTAACAAAAAATTTGAAACATATCTAGTGGGTTGAGCAGTGCTCCCTAAAATATATATCCAAGTCCTCATTTACGGTAGCTGTGAATGTGATCTTATTTGGAAGTATGGTCTTTGCATGTGTAATTAAGCTAAAGAACTTGAGATGAAATCACCTTGGATTTAGAGTAGACCCTAAATTCAATCACCAGTGGCCTTATAAGAGTAAAAAGCTAGAGATTTGAGACACAGAAAACAGCAGGAAGGACGTTGAAGACAGAGTTATTGGAGTCATGAAGCGACAAGCCAAGGAGGACCATGAAATGCCAACAGCCCCAGATGCCAAGAGAGAGGCCTGGAATAGATTTTCCCTCAGAGTCTTCTGAAGGAACCAATTGTCATCTTGGTTTTGGATTTTTGGACTCCTGAATTGTGAAAGAATAAATTTCTATTGTTTTAAGCTGCTCAGTTTGTGACATAAATGTCACGAAATTTGTTGTTTTACCTAGAACATAAAATTGTTTCTCCTTCTTCTCCTTCTCCTTCTTTTGAGACGGAGTCTCACTCTATTACCAGGCTGAAGTGCAATGGTGCGATCTCGGCTCACTGTAACCTCTGCCTTCAAGGTTCAAGTGATTCTCCTGCCTCAGCCTCCCGAGTAGCTGGGACTAGAGGTGCCTGCCACCACACCCAGCTAATTTTTGTACTTTTAGTAGAGACGGAGTTTCACCTTTGGGCAGGATGGTCTCGATCTCTTGACTTTGTGATTTGCCTGTCTCAGCCTCCCAAAGTGCTGGGATTACAGGCGTGAGTCACTGTGCCTGGCCTTCTTCCTATTATTAAAAATATATTTCAGAACTTTTCAATGTCTCATTGAAACTCAATGCATAATATGCACATGAAATTTATTTTTCTTTCTTTAAAACTTTTCTTAATTTGAGAACAATAATTACCCAGTCAATCACTTATCTCAAAGTGAGGCTTCAGTTGAAGTCTTTTCTTATAGTAAGACAATTATGCAGATAAAGATGTTTCTTAGAGCCACTATTTCTCGCATCTGATTCTGATTATGCTTGAGAGATGATATAATTATAAAGATTAATTAGTAGTCAGCAGAATAAAGTCGTATTTCCTCACATTAGCAATATGTCAGTACTAAAATGCTGAAGCTTTCAGAGAAATGTGATAAAAAATGTTCAGTGCTTGTTAGGTCAGGCAACTCAATGAAACTGTATTTTTGTGCATGCTGATTTGCAAAAATGCAACAGAGATAGTCAGATGAAGGGAATGAAGATTCATTAAGTTTGTAAAAACTCTTTAATTGCTAATTAGATGGGAGCATATCACATTCAAATTGGAAACATTTAGCTCTTTTTCTCCTTACCAATTAATAATAAGAGAGAGATGTTTAAAGAAACAAATAGTATTTAGGAGGTCTCTTTTGAGTAGACCTGGGCATCACGTATTTCTTTCCATAAAAGTAATTTAACAACAGCAGCAGTAACAATATCAATAGGTAGGATGTTTACCCCAAAAGGCATTAAGTCGTCTGTCTTGCCAGCACTGATGAAGGATATGTACTTCCTATGTAGTCCAACACTGCATGTTGACCTGTGCTTTACCTCTTTGCCTCCTCCTAAGCTGAGATTCTTGAGAGCATGGGCCGTGAGCACTGTGCTGAGCCACATCGGAGCCTGACACAAAAAGAATAAATCAGTCATACTCACCTTCTATTTATGTAATATTTTATATTTACATTTATATTTTTAAAAAATACTGCAGTTAACTATTAATTATATTGAGTACGATTTTATTTTGTTGGTGCTTCCTTACTGCTACGTTCTAGAAGAGGACTTACCTGCCTCTTCTTAATCCTGGTCCTTGTTGTGATTCTTATTTATGTTGCCCAGTGCCTGGCACAAGGTCCCCCACATAACTGGTGCTTAAGGAAACAGCTTATGATTCAACAAGTTCTTTATAAGAATCATGATGCAGCTCTTACAAAGAGAACGTAAAATGCCCAATGAGCACTTAAAACAATCTTATGAAATAGAAACTGGGAGTTGTTAGCAAATGAGGACAGATTCAGCAAGTTAAAGCAAATTACCTCTCGGGCTAACATACACGTAGTCAGATGCCCTCTATGCTATTTATTTTCACACATATCATGTTAAAAGCAAAATGTTTCCTGAAGGGGGTATTGATTTTTTGCCTTTATCATTTATTAGAATACAATATATTTAACACTTCCTATGAGTAGCTAATAACAGCAATATTAGAGTGTTGGATATTCTAAAGGCTAAATTTGGATAAATTTCAGTATAAATATTATAAAATAATCAATAGCCACAAGATAGAAAAAATCTTGAATTTATTTAATTTTATTTTTAAATCAAAATTCAATAACATTTGAAATGCTGTATGCCAGTTTGGGGTCCCCTATTATTTGCTATATACATTTTCTTCATATGAAAACTTGCTGACTATGGCAATCAGTAAATTTACTTTAAATTGGATCAGAGGTTCTTAATCAATGGGAGTCCAAAATTATGTTTGGCCTAGAGAAAAGGTAGGCACTGTGTAAGACAGTAGAGTATCAAATGCCTATTGAAAAATTAGTCTGTCCAAGAAACAACACTTACTCATACTAATCTAACTTAGCTATGGTAATTTTCTTCAAAGTTTTCTCTGTCCATGCAATTAAAAAAAGCAAACTTACTGGAAAAATATGATTTGAGATTTGCATTTCTATGGTGCACTGCAGATGGCACATTACATTAAAATATATATTGAATACTAAAAATGGTAAATCCCACGTCAGCTACTGCTGATGTCTTTCAGACCATCATACCTAATGTCTTTTCTCCAAATTCAGTTCTAGGCTATTTATTGGCCTCATACAGATCAGAAAAACTAAGGATGAAAAAATTGAAATTGTATAATCTGTAAGTACTTGATATTAATTAATTTATTCAGTCAAAAATTTTAGGAAAACTCTCTTTGCTAGTATAGACCTCCCCAAAATGGATATATCATGGTTATAAGCAAACTTTCTGAAAAAGAAGTGGTAAAGAGAGGAAAAGGGAGAGTGATTATAGCATTACATAAAAAGTAACAATCAGGTTTTTTTTCTTGAATAGAGGAGTATCTTCTAAACGATTCTTGCCTTAGCATCTCATCTCTTAATCTCAGCAGTTTGTTATATAAATTTTCAATCAGAGAGAAACCCAAACTCAAAATAAATTAAAAATTCTAAGCAATGGCTGCAAGTGATTTTCCAAAATGCTTATGGAGAAGGGTTCGCTTTTCTTGAATAATTTCTGCATGAATCTTTCCAGGTAACAAAAGAGATAAGTATAGCTATAAATACAATAATATAAATATAGTTGGCCTTTAAACTCTGAACTTTGTCCAGCTTGAAGAGATTGAGGACTTTTTATAATTTTCATGCTGACTCTGGGTCTAGAAAGTGCAGACCAAACTAGGCTGTGGGTTAATACAGTAGGAAGCAGAACAGTATACCTCGGATAAAAGAACGGGGTCCAGACACAAAGAAGCAAATTTTATCTGAGGGCTTTACTGATGGACTAATGAGCAGGGATTGTAACTTAAGAAATCTGTTGCAGATATTGAGCATTTTGCTTTTATATTGCTGCATTATAAGCCATATCAAAATTTAAACACCTAGAACAGCTATCTGATTACCTCTCATTTTCTATAAAATGATTGGGCTCAGTACTTTTCTACTCCATGTGATACTTGCTGGGCCATTGTTGGAATGGCTATCAATGTCAGGCTATTGAACCAATCTAAAATTGGCCTGGAATGTCGAACTAGGCTCACTCACGTGGTTGGCATTTGCTGCTGGCACTTGGCAGGGAGATCATGTGGGACCGACAGAGGCAAGTTAGTTCTCCATGTGGTCTCCCCATGTGGCTTGGGCTTCTCATGTTATGACTACTCATTAAAGAACAGAAAGTGGATCCTGTCAGTCATCTTAAAGCCTGGAGTTCTCGAATGTAACTTTTGCCTCATCTCATTGGTTACATCGGGACAGCCCACAATCAAGGGGAGGGAAATATGTTCTACCTCTTGACATGCAGTGCGAACATAAAGGTATGAGAATAATTTTTAGATGCTGTCATTGGAAACCAGCTACCACATTACTTTATATATGCCTATCTTTAGGTTAACAGTTTAATAATCTGGATGTAATCCATTGCTACCATAGATGCATGTTTTTTTACTTGTCAAATTATTTTTGTTTTCATTAGAAAATCCAAAATTAAAATAATTCCATTGATTTTAAAGATAGGTACATATTTCATATAAAGTCAGTTAACAAATCTGGTATGTTATAATGGACAAACCAAGTACCTATACAATGATGTGGTATGGCATGTACTATTCACAGAAGTATTTAAATCCAGTCTTTTTTCATGGGATTCGGAGTTATGGGCTCGAGGTTATGCAAAACATCAAAGTGGAGCTAGCTTCATTCTGGGCAATAGTTGTTAAGTAGATTAATTTTTCGAACCTCACTGTTTACATTTATTAAGTGTAGATTATAATATGCTAGTGGACATTTCTTATCGACTAATATATCAGCTATTTTATAATTCTCCGCAACTGATAGTACTCAAATTTTGTTTAGGTAACAACCCATTCTTCAAACAGCCTACTCTAAGCCCTTATTGACTTAACCAATTATCATATTCCATTCTTTTGGGTAAAATGATGGGGTTAGGGCTGGGACCCAATCAAACCAATTCAAATAGAATAAATTTAAAAACAATTGGAATGTTGGAAAAAATTTCTTTCTCTGTATATAAACAAAGAAATTCATAGCACTAGAGTTGTTATCAAAGTTACTGGGTAGAGAAGAACTGTTTTATCATGAGATTGGTAATATGGCATTTAGAGAAGAAAGATGAATTTATTGCTTCAAACTGCAGCTGCATTTTCTCCTCAGAAGTCTACATTTGAGAGCTAATAGTGAAGCTTTTTGCTCTAAATCTATTTATGTTAGAATTTTGGATTGTGGCAAAATTAAGATACTTAAAATATGTATAGATCACATAATTGTTTCAAAAATTAAATTTGATAATTCTTATAAAATATCCTGTACTATGTCTGGCATATAAACAATTTTTTAAAAAATTTTACTCATTATTTGAAATATGGCAATATTCCTAGTCCATCAAATAGTTTTATTTTTTTCTTAAGAAACAGATTTTAAATATTTTTTTGTTTGGTTACAGAACAACAACAACAAAAAAACCATAGGACCTTGAGTCTATGTGATTTTAATTTCAATACATAAGGTAGAGCTGTCTGCAATTATAAGCTTACCTAACAGAGAAATATGGTGTAAATGAAAAACACAATAAAAATGTAATTACGGAAGCTGGTTGATTTTTTTTTTCCTTGAAAGAAGTTTGTGTTGGATAAGAAAGAGCTGATTTCTATTATGTTTTATGATTACAGTATTCTATTTATATTCTCAGCATTGAATTAATTTCTTTTTTAATGCTAACCTTGCTGAGGATCCTTTTAAAATACTTTAATGAGTTGAGTACATAAATCATCTCAGTGAACACAAACACTTACATGTAAAAACTCTGGAGGGAGCTTTTTACAGATTTTACAGTGGAAAATGAGTCACTTGACGGCTTTGTGCCCCCTCTTATCACTTACCCAAAATGAAAATAAATAACAATTGTTATTTTTCATAGACTTAGCAATGGTAAAATCTTTAATAAAAAATTGTTCAAAAGAAAACATACAACATTGCATATAGAGAGCTTTACAATACATTGCATACAAAGACTACCAAGTACAGGCTTAGCATTTGCTCTCAAGTTTGTGGCTTTTGACATGAGCTGGAATGAATATTGCATTATGATGGAGACTGTATGCATATAGGCAAATGTCCACAGTAAAAAGGAGAGTTTTTGAAGGCTATATTGTAATAAATAAAGATTACAATTAGAGAATTAATAGCTAAATATTAAAACTAGAATAGAATAGAGAATGCTTCATTTATATCTTCTATTAGCTGGAAATATTTATATGTATACAAGCAAACTCTAATTTAAAAATAAAGTGCTATAGTTCTGTAATTAGTCATAATTAAATACTTCAATTTATTAGATGTTCTCACACATATATAACATCAGTTTTACAATTTAGGTACTAGTGACAATTTGTCAATCTGGAGAGTCATTGAGTTTTGAATAAACATTGCTTAATTTGCTGGTTTGTAAAACCTCACTTTCATATGTTCCATTTGCTTAGAGTAGATCTCATCAATATTCTCACTCAGCAGAAGCATCCCAAACCTTTACCTACATAGAGATGCCAAATTTTGTTTTCTAAATAAGATTCACTGGAAGGAACCTAAAGACTCATCTATGATGGAATTGAGAATATATTAGGAATAAATTTAAAATATAATGGAATACTGGCATAATTTTCAGGCTCTTTAAAACCAGCCTACATAGACATAGCCTTGCATGTCTATCACATAATTTGTTGAGAAACCGAGGAAAGCATATTTCTGTAATTTGCTTTATTCTCACCATTTATAATAGGGATATAAGCTTTAGAAAACAAAGATTCCATCAATACAGAAGGAAGTCAGAGACCAATACTATATAGTAAAAAAGAAATCAAACCAAAACCCATGATTCTCATATAAGATATACAATGATAATTTGGTTTTTGTGGAATTTAATTTCTATAGGTCTTAATGTTTTAATTTTGTGAAAAATAAAAGATCACAACAACTTTTATGCCCTCAAGGGATGAAACTGTTTAGCTAAAGGACATAGTGAACCATTAAGTCTGAGGTGAACTACCCAACAGAATATCTCCTTAAGAATAAAACAGAACGTGGCATATTAAAAAGTTACTTGCAAGTTCTGTCTGTATATCTTAACTCCCCAGGAAAATGCCTTGCTCTTACTCTACAAAACATTCCGTTTCCTTAATAATTGACATCATTAGGAAAATGGGGCGGTGGAGCAATATGGCCAAATAGAAACCTCCACCAATCATTCTCCTGCAGGAACACCAAATTGAAAAACTATTTATACAAAAAGCACCTTCGCAAGAACAAAAGTAGTACCTGATGATTGTTCAGGTGAACAATCATAGTACCTGGTTTTAACTTCATACTACTGAAAGAGGCACCAAGAGGGTAGGAAAGACCATCTTTAATGTCAACACCGCCCCTCCCCAATCCTCTAGCAGTGGCACCATAATGCAGAGAGAGAATCTGTGCACTTGGTGGAAGGAGAGCAAAGCAAATGTGGTGCTTTGCTTTGGAACTCAGCGCTGCTCTATCAGTGTGGAAAGGAACAGCAGGCCGAACTCCATTGACATCCACAGAGGGAGCATTTAGACCAGCCCTAGCCAGAAGGGAATTGTCGAGCCCAGGAATTGGAACTTGAGTTCTGGCAAGTCTCGCTACTGTGGGCTAAAAAACTCTATGATCTAAAATAAACTTCAAAGGCAATCTAGGTCACAAGGACTGCACTTCCTGGGAGAGTCATGGTGCTTGGAGCCAGTCTACTTGGGGGACAAGCAACCTAGTGCAACACCAGCTAGGATGGCCAAGTGAGTATTTGTGTTACCCCTTCCCCAGTGCCAGGCAGCACAGCTCACAGCTCTGGGAGAGACACTTTCCCTCTGTTGAAGGAGAGGAGAAAGGAGAGTAAGGAAGACTCTGTCTTACAACATGGATACCAGTTCAGCCACAATAGTACTGGGCATGAAACAAAGTTGAAAGACCTACATTCCAGGCCATAGCTCCTGGATGACATTTCTAGATACACCCTGGGTCAGAGAAAACCTGCTCCCTGAAAGGAAGAACAAGGCAGGATTCATCCATCACCTGCTAACTGGAGAGCCCTTGGGCTCTGAATAATCAGTAGCAATACCCAGGCAGTACTTCCTGTGGATTTTAGGCGACACTCTGAGACATGCTGGCTCCAGATGGGATCTAGCACATTCCTAGCTGTGGTGACTATGCGGAGAGACTCCTTCTGCTTGAGAAAAGGAGAGAGAAGAATAAAGAGGACTTTGCCTTGAAGCTTAGGTACCACCTTGGCCGCAGTGGGGTAGAGCACTAAGCAGGCTCTCTTGGGGTCCCCAGTTGTAGGCCTTGGGTCTTGGAAGACATTTCTGAACCTGCCCTGGGCCAGTGGGAGGCCCATTACCCTGAAGAGAGGATCCTAGGACTGGCAGCACTTACCACCAGCATAAAAAAGAACCGTTGGGCTTTGAGTGAGCATCAGCAGTTGCTGGGAAATACTTGCCATAGGCCTGGGCCTGTGGTAGCCATCAAGAAAGACTCCTTTGCTTGTGGAAAAGGGAGGAAAGAGTGGAAAGGATGTTGTCTTGTGGCTTGCATGCCAGCTCAGCTGCAGAGGAATAGAGTATCAGGGGGATTCTTAAGGTTTCTCATTGCAGACTTTGCCTTCCTGACAGCATCTCTAGACATACCTGGGCTCAGACAAACTCATTGCCCTAAGAGAAAGACACAAGACTGGCTGGCTTTGTCACATGCTGATTGTAGAGTCCTAGGTCCTTGAGTGAACATAGATGGTAGCCAGGCAGTGGTTACAACAGGCCTTGGGTAAAACCCAGTACCATGCTGGCTTCAGTTCTGATTCAGAACAGTCCCAGTGTTAGTAGCCACAGAGTACTTGTGTCAACCCTCCTCCAGCTCCACGCAGCTTAGAACAGAGAGAGATACTTCATTTGTTTGGGAAAAAGTAGTGGAAGGGAGGGGCTGGGCGTGGTGGGTCACACCTGTAATTCCAGCACTCTGGGAGGCCGAGGCAGATGGATCACGAGGTCAGGAGATCAAGACCATCATGGCTAACACAGTGAAACCCTGTCTCTACTGAAAATACAAAAAATTAGCCAGGCGTGGTGGCAGGCACCTGTAGTCTCAGCTACTTGGGAGGCTGAGGTGGGAGAATGGTGTGAACACGGGAGGCAGAGCTTGCAGTGAGCCGAGATCGTGCCACTGCACTCCAGCCTGGGCGACAGAGTGAGACTCCGTCTCAAAAAAAAAAAAAAAAAAAAAAAAAAAGTAATGGAAGGGA